AAATCCAGCTCGAAGCTGTTCAGGGAGCTAGGGTGGGGAGCACCTGCTTGCAGACCTGAGGCGGAGGCTGTGTGGAAGGGAGAAGTTTCACTTTGACAGGACCTGTCTTAGGCCTGGGCCTCTGAATCCGGGATGGTCACTGAAGCTGCCACTGCAGCAACCTCCAGGTATTCACCAGAGCCTTGGCCTCTGTACCCAGAGAGCTCCTTAAGAGAAAAGTCCTGAAGTCACCTGTGGTAGTGCAGGCCTGGAGTCCCAGCCCTTGGGAGGTGGTCACACAAAGACCAACAATCCTGAGGCTGGGGGAGGCAGTCACTCAGGAGGCAGAGGCCGGCAGAGAGGCAGATCTCTGTGAGTTTGAGGCCAGCCTGGTCTACAGAGTGAGTTCCAGGCCAACCAAAGACTCGTCTCCAGAAAAACAAATAAATACATAGAAGAAAGAAAAAGAGTGAAAATTATAGATCAGGAATCCAAGGCCCAAATCTTTTACTTAGCAAGTTCCAGGCCAGCCTGAGCTATGTAAGAGCCTGTTCCAAAAAATAAACCAAGAAGGAGGTCCTGGCCCGGAAGTGTAGCTCCATGGAGGACTTCCTGCATGTGGAAGGCCCCGGATTCAATTCCCAGCACAAAAGCAAAGCAATAATGCAAAGGAAGGTTCTTACTCTGGGTAATGCTCCACAAGCAGTTTTGTCGACGGGAGGTCTCCTTTGGCGGCGGCATAGTGGATAGGCAGGGCACCCGTGTCTGTGGTGATGGCGGAGTTCGCGCCACCGTGTTGCAGAAGCCAGTTTACCAGTTCCGGGTGGCCAAAGCGGGCAGCCAGATGCAGGACTGTGGCACCAGAATTATCTTTTTCCTGTGGTAGAAGAGCGAGTTAAAACTGTATTCAGAGAGGTTAAGAGCACTGACTGCTCTTCCAGAGGTCCAGAGGTCCTGAGTTCAATTCCCAGCAACCACATGGTGGCTCACAACTATCTGTAATGAGATCCGGTGCCCTCTTCCGGCCTTCAGGCATACATGCAGGCAGAATATTGTATACATAATAAATAAAGTCTTTTAAAAATAAAATAAAATAAAACGCTGTAGTCTGAACCTGTTCTTGCCAGGTGCTCAGCCTACTGCCAACTTCCTCCAGGAGGGGGCGCAAGTCCATATGCTTACCCTTCCTTGTGGGAATGGCTGTGCCTAGCTTAGCACTTTGGGGGTGAAAGAGATCGAAGGAATTTGAATCTGCTCTTGCCCTTAGGCAACTCCTGGTTGGCTTTGACCTCAGGTCAGAGGCAGCAACACACTGTGGGACTCTTTGAGGCCTTTAGGGCATGATGGAGAGCTGCCAGGACACAAGAGGCACCTAAAACATGGCACCCTATGTCCTAGCAGGAGTTAGGCACAGCCCTGACACCTGGGAAACACAGGAGTAAATGACTACAGTGCTGGGCTGGGCAAGGCAGGGAGGGTCGGGTAGCTGAGTCTCTACCAGGTGGTTTTAGAACGCCCCTGCCTCCAAACCCCTGTTCCTCCTCCTCCTCATTCCCAGGTGTCCCCTGGGAGGGACATAGCCTTCCATCTTGGTACACTTCCAACAACCCAGCCCCCAACACAAGAAGCTGCCCTCCTGTGGACTCGCCTGTACACAGCTACAGGAACAAGCTGTGTTCTTGTCCTGTGGAGGAGGAGGTACTGGGCCCTGGTGGGCAGGTCTTGGGGCAGCTAGCCAGTGGTGTAGGTGTGGACTAGTAGCAGGCTCTTCCAGAGGCTGAAACTTCTGCAGGCACCCTGTAGGCCCAGAACTCTTCCTCATATATACCTGTTGTATCTCTCTTTGTGGGAGGAGCTGAGGGGCTGTTCATTGGTGGGGGAGGGGACCATGGAGACCCCAGATGTCCCGACTGGGGCTGGCTACTGCATCTGAGAGTGTGTGCTATCCTAGAAGCTGACAACCTGTCGGTGTCAAGCACAGAGATGCCAGAGAGAGCAGCTATGAGAGGTGACTGACTGGGAGGGGAAGTCTCTCCTCTCCACAGAAACACATGTGGCCAAGGCACAGAGACCCTGAGGCAGGTGGATCTCAACCAGAAGACCTCAGAGCCCCCCGAAAGAAGGGGACACGGGAGACTGGCATGCCATCAGTCGGGCTGTGGAGGTGGGGAGGGTCATAGGACAGAAAGCAAATGGCCTGTAAGGGACTAAGAAGGTGCCAGAGTTCCCTGCTGCATATTGTAGGTGTGAGCAGGCTTGTTTAGTCTGTTCCTTGTGAGCTCAGGCATGGCTGACTAGAGGTGACCTAAGCAGGACTACAAAGATGAAAGTCTGGGCCAGGTGTTGGTGGCACACGCCTTTAATCCCAGCAATCGGGAGGCAGAGGCAGGGGGGTTTCTGTGAGTTTGAGACCAGCCTGGTCTACAAGAGCGAGTTCCAGGACAGCCTCCAAAGCCACAGAGAAACCCTGTCTCGAAAAAAAAAAAAAAAAAAAAAAAAAAAAGATGACAGTCTGGCACCTCAGCTCTTGAGACAGGCCTTCCCTCTCCACTGGTCGTGGGGACATGGGCCTGAGGGTGTAGGGCATCTCTGTAGCTCAGGGCTATTGGATAATGATGGCAACATGAAGTCAGTGGCCCGTGTTCAGGGTACCACCAGCTGGGCAGGCCCTGGGAGCGTTGTGTGCTGGGGCCCACATTCTAAGCTGTTTATCTCTAGGCTGAACAGGACCAGAGATGGAGGTCACTGCCCCCACACTTCTGCCCCCACACCACGGGGGTATGGGGCAGGAGACATGATAAACTGGCACAAAGGTTGTGTGTTCCCTTGTACATCGGCTGCAGTGATAAGGGAGGACTTACAGCCAGCGCTGGACATGGGATCAGGGAGGCAGGCGCCTCCCAAAAAAGGGAGGCATGGACTATGTGGTGTGGGCCACATGACCAGGAACTCCTGATAACAAGGCAGGAGATAAGGAAGTGAAGACGCTCCCAGAAACACGGGGAGGTGGAGCTTGTCCTTGGAGGGCAGGAGGTGGGAGCTGAAGCACATTTTGTTAGGCCCCCGGCAGACCAGGTTAGAGTTGGCTCTCACCCCTTTGGTGTGCAGTTAACCTAGTGGTCTGTGGGGGGTTTTATTGTTTGGTTGGTTGTTTTTGTTTTTTGAGACAAGAGTCTCACTCTGTAGCCCAGGCTGACTTCAAACTCACAGCAGTCCTCCTGCCTTAGCTTCCCAAGTGCCCTGGTGACAGATGTGAGCCACTCAGTGGTGGTCTCTGCCTGCTGGAGATCAGATGGGCTCCTGCCTCAGCTGGCTGCTCAGGTAACCAGAATATCATACCCATTCCTTCCCTCAGCCTCGGAGACCCTCTGGCCTCCCATCCCGGCCATCACCCTGGTTTCTTTAGCCTTCCTCCAGCACAAGAATGTGGACACCTCAGGGCATTTCACTTCTTGTTCTCTGTGCTGAGGACGCTCTGATCCACTCTCGGCCAGGTCTCCCTCTGGCAGGTCCTCAAAGTGACCCGTGGTTATCCCAGGCACAAAGAGAAGGCCCACGCGGATATCCTTGGATCCACCGATGTCCTAGGGAGAGCTGCCCCACCTCATGCCCCACTACCTTTGTCCCTGACTTAGTGGTATCTGCATCTTGGCCTGGGGTGAGTTGTGGGACCTTGTGCACGCTCCCTCCAGACCTGAGCCTGGATGACACGGCCTTCTAATTTGGCAGCCAAGGCCCAACACTGCCCCCACCTTCCTCCAAGCCTGGGCCACTCCCTCTAGGATCTGCACTTTGCCTGCCTTAGGAGGTGCCAGCCCCACTGAGTCCATTTCCCCTCGGGATTCCCTGATACCAAGTGACCAGGAATCTACCCAAATCCTCAATCTCAGGATCCCATCTTATCTAAAGCCGGCTGGAGAGAGAAATCTGAAGGGCTCAACTGAGCCAAGACCATTTCACCTATTTTCAAGCCACTGGAGGTCCGGAGTCCTCTTTTGGGCCCAAACCCTCTCTTGGAGTGGACTCACCTGCACTTTGCAACCACCCTGTGGGGGCCCAGCCACTGCAGACAGGAGAGGTAGCCTGTGGCAGCGGCGTCGTGGGCCGGTGTGGCGCCGTTGCGCGCGCGGGCCACGGCCGGGAGGCCAACCTCCTCCACCAGGTAGCGTAGACAGTCAAGCTTGCCAGATCGGGACGCATGGTGAACCGGCAGGGCATCTAACGGGTCGCGCAGAGAAGGCCCCAGCAGGCCGGCGGCGTGCAGGGACTTCAGGACTTCCAGGTCGCCCCGCCGTGCAGCCTGCAGCGCCTGCTCCAGGGCCATGGTGCAGCCCTCGGCGCTGCGACCCGGCGATCAGTGGGTTGCCCGGGGCGTCATGCGGGTGGCTTCAGGCTCCGGGAGTAGCCCCGCGGTCCAGCCGTCGGAGGAGTGTGAACCCCAGAGGCAGAGCGGCTGCCCGCTGCCCCGGCTCTGAGATCCCTCTGCAGCGCTCTGGGGCGGGGACCCCGAGAGTGCCCCGCTTAAGCCTGGGACCCGCCCTCGCCACGCCTCCTCTCGGTCCCGCCTCCCGGGCCCTGAGCCTCCCCTGTCCCTGGCGGATGACAGGGGTTGGTGCGCATAGAAGTTCCTCTTCTGATTTGCCGCACATTAAAAACTGAGTAGGATTCTAGTGCCATCCAGACAGATCCGTTCATTCGGCTGCCCAGTGGCCACTATGTGCTGTTTCAGGCGCCGGGGACACAAGCTGATGGCAGTTACAAGGAGCTGCAAGTGTCACTAGAACCTGGCAAGAGGGAGATAGGAAATGGTTTGTCATGGGCATCACGAAGGTGCCTGTTGCTGGGTCCGGTTGGTAAGAAGGGCATTCAAAGCCAGGGAACTGGATGCCACTGCCCCGAAACTTAAAATGTCCCATCAAGTGCAGAGTGCTGGGGATGCTAGGGTCCCTCTAGCGTCTAGACCCAATAAAAAGAAGGGAGGTCGCACAGGCAGCGGCTGTGTGAAGCCGGGCTCGGGCAACATGTACTACAAGTTTAGCGGCTTCACGCACAAGTTGGCTGGAGCTTGGGCCTTGGAATCCTATAGTCCGCAGGGGTTAAAGCCAGTGGCTTCCACAGAAGCACCGCCTATTGTATTTGCCACACCGACTAAACTGACCTCCAGTGTGACAGCATATGTCTATGCTGGGAAGAACAAAGTTCCAGAGCTACAGAAATTCTTCCAGAATTTCTTCCACCTAAAACGAGGCCTTCCAGACCAAATGCTTTACCGGACCCCCATGGCGCTGACTGTGGGAGGGACCATCTACTGCCTGAGTGCCCTCTACATGGCTTCCCAGACCCCAAATAAATGAATTAGCCCGTGGGAGACGGAGAAGGCAGAAAGAGAAAGAAAGAAGGAAGCCAGCAAAAGGAGCGTGCAACGGTGCTTTCCGCCAAGTCTGACAACCCAAGTTCGATCCCAGGGACCTCCATGGTGGAAGGACAGAATCAACCCCCACAAGTTTTCTTCTGAACCGCACGTGCACACCATAGCACACGGCCCCTGAATAAATAAATACAAGAATTGAAAAAAGAAACAACTCCAAAACCCATAGGATCTCTCTCTCTCTCTCTCTCTCTCTCTCTCTCTCTCTCTCTCTCTCTCTCTCTCGGGTTTTCAAGTCAAGTTTCTCTGTGCAGCAGTCCTGGCTGCCCTGGAACTCGCTTTGTACACCAAGCTGGCCTCGTGAGATCCACCTGCGTCAGCCTCCCAAGTGCTGGCTTTAAAGGCGTGGGCCACCACCGCCCAGCAAGGATCTATTTAAGTGAAAGGAAGGACAAGTGGTGTCGAGGTGGTTTCAGAACTGTTTTAGAACAGGGAGCTGAAGATTCTGATCCCCCAGGCTGGCGGGTGATGGGAGAGTGGACCATGCACTTGAAGGCCCGGGCCTGCCAAACCAAGAGACCAGAAACGATGATGTGAGGGATGGGGCCTGGTGGGCAGAGGCTCCTGTGCCTTTGTCCAGAGAGACGGTATCACCACGTGAACAAGGGCACTGGGAAGCGCCTGAGGGTGCAGGCAGGTAAGCACACCCTACAGGCCATGGCTGGAAACAGGTCATGGGAACTGGAGGAGGCAAGGAGGTCTGCTGACTGGAGAAAAGCTCCCAGGGTGGGGTGTGGGAGCGCAGCAACCTTGAAACAGCTTGCGCTCTTCGTCTTCTTCCCCCACGCACAGCAGAGGTCTGTAAGAACCCAGCCCCATTCAATCAGTGCCTAACTCCTACCAGTGTTTCAATCAGTGCCTAACTCCTACCAGCCTGGGAGGTGCT